CTAGTAGCCAGAACGCACTTCTCAGCCTACTATGCAAGGCTCGATTTGCCGAATAAGCCAAGTTTTCATGAATTAATTGTTTTTCGGCTACCTAACCTAGCTAACCTAACCTAACCTAACCTAACTTTTTCGGCTACCTAACCTAACCTAACCTATAAAGATAGGTTAGGTTAGGTTAGGTAGGGTTGGTTAGGTTCGGTCATATATCTATGTTAATTTTAACTCCAATAAATAAAAATTGACCTCATACATAATGAAATGGGTAGCTTTATCATTTCATAAGAAAAAAATTATAGTAAATATATTAATTCAGGAAAACTTGGCTTATTAGGCAAATCGGCCATGCATAGTAGGCTGAGAAGTGCGTTCTGGCTACTAGGTACGACATATATATATATATATATATATATATATATATATATATATATATATATATATATATATATATATATATATATATATATATATATATACAGATATACAATTTTGTCCCCATCGCCTCAGAGACACTTGGTGCCTGGGTAAAAGTGCTGCAAGCTTTTTGAAGGAGTTGGGGTCTAAGCTAATCGAAACAACTAGAGACCCTAGAGCTGCCAGTTTTCTTTTTCAGCGCCTTAGTGTGGCCATCCAGAGAGGAAATGCTCACTGCATCGACGGTTCCTGCCCGCCATCTGAGGAGCTGGAGGAGCTTTTCAACTTGTGACAAGCAGCCTTGTACCCTGCATGTAATCAATATTGTAACTTTTTTGTGTAATGACATTTTCAAATAAAGTTATATAAATATACACACTTAACAAAAGAATAGGGGTGGTAGGAGAAGAAAATATCAAAGTGTTCAGTGAGGATCCACAAGGTCTTCTCTGAGTACTCTTTATTTTCTTCTCCGAGGCTATGGGTCCCTACACTTGCACCAGAGGTGGTACCCCTTCTAGATAAAAAAAAAAAAAAAAAAAAAAAAAAAAAAAAAAAAAAAAAAAAAAAAAAAAAAAAATATATATATATATATATATATATATATATATATATATATATATATATATATATAATATATATATATATTATTAAATATGACCGAAAAAGACTAGCGAAACGACTCAACGGCTTGCTGACTCCTTTTGTCCCTTGCGCCTTCAGCCTGAAGTCTCCAAAAGAATTGTTGACTTACTGCGAGGAACACGGGCCACAGGGATAAGAGCCTCGTTGGACATAGAATCACTGTTTACCAACGTACCTGTGGATGAAACAATCGGGATGATAGTGGACAGAGTGTATCGTGATCTGGCCTGTACTCCTCTTGACATACCAGAAAACATTCTAAGGAAACTACTCCAAGCTTGTACTAAAGAGGCACCCTTCTTGAGCCCGGATGGGCACATGTATAAGCAAGTAGATGGGGTCGCCATGAGTTCTCCCCTAGGTGTCCTGTTTGCGAACTTCTACATGGGTACCATCCAGCATAAAGTCTTAGTCGACATGAACTTGAAACCGGTCATATACTGCAGGTATGTTGACGACATTTTTACACAGGTACCTGATGTCAGACATCTGCAGGAGCTGAAGGAGGCATTTGAGCAGAATTCTGTGTTGCGTTTCAATTACGAGATGGAGAAGGATGGGAAGCTGCCCTTTCTAGATGTAATAGTCATGGAAAGGAGCGGAGGTTTCCACACTGCAGTCTACACTAAGGAAACAACATAGGAATGTGCCTAAATGCCAACAGTGACTGCCCAGACAGGTACAAGAGGAGTGTTGTTAACGCTTATGTCGACCGTGCTCTCAGCCACAGCTCAGGATGGAAGCAAGTCGACGAAGAACTCTGTAGGGTAAGGCAGGTCTTAGTCAACAACGGCTTCTCCAATGTTTCGTTGAAGACATCATAAGAAGGAAAGTGAAACGCCATGCAACCTCTGAAGAGACAACTAACACAACACCTATTCCCCCTATTAGACTATTTTACAGGAACTTCTTTTCCACAGCTCATAAAATGGAGGAAAGGGTCCTGAAAGATATTGTTAATAGAAACGTTATCCCTACAGACAAAAATCAGAAGATACAACTGACGATTTACTATAAAACCAAGAAAACGGCCAGCCTACTCATGAGAAACTCTCCAGACACAAAGCAGAATGCTTTAAAAGAGACCAACGTCGTCTATGCCTTCAAATGCCCTGTTGGGGACTGTAAGCCTCAAAAAACTCAGTATATAGGCAAGACAACAACATCTCTTTCCAGGCGTTTAACGATGCATAAGCAACAGGGCTCCATTTAGGAACATATAATCTCTTCCCACAACCAAACCATCACCAGAGAAATCTTAGCAAACAACACAGAAATCATCGATAGATACAGCGATAGCAGGTGGCTTGACATCTGCGAGGCATTGCACATCAAGAAGTCAACACCAGCAATCAACAGCCAATTAATGCACAACTATATTCTACCCACTTCAAGACTCCGCTCCAATATAGAAGCATCAAGAAATATGGGCCAATAGGCCCTCTGCAATTACTTCCATTCTTACCTTCAATACCCATTGTTTCGTATTCTGTCTTGTGTTAAAAGTTTGTTTTCACCTCATCCAAAACTGTTGTAACATATCACCTCACCCAAATGCAGGTATAAAAAATCGAAGATGTTTAAGCTCTATTCAGTTATAGTTGTGTGTGTGTGTGTAAACTAAAGTCTTTGAAAATGTAATAAGTTTTACGAAACGCGCTCAAGTGTCGCGTCAGACTAGAAATAAAAATGAATTTTGGAGAATTGATTTTTCAATTACCATCAACAGTGAAAAGAAACATAAGAAAGATCGAGAAAATTCGTGTTAGAATTATTAATCTTACTTTTTCGGTCATATTTAATAATATATGTCTACAGGAAAGACTGCTACCAAAATATACTATATATATATATATATATATATATATATATATATATATATTATATATATATATATATATATATATATATATATATATATATTTATATATATACATATATTTATGTATATATATATATATATTCTACTGGTTATCTATAATCAACGAATAACTGAAGGTACTACTTTGTTGGGAGGAGGAATATTACCATCCTTCGGATTGACAACAGACAGTCGACATGATGCCCCAGGGAACAGATATGTTCACCTCTTGTTTTTATATCCTCCCTCTCTCTCTCTCTCTCTCTCTCTCTCTCTCCTTCTCTCTCTCTCTCTCTCGAGAGAGAGAGAGAGAGAGAAATTACGTCAACTCTCTCTACACAAAATAGTAGACTAGGTAGGCAACAGACTCTGGAGAATCCACATTGGCTATTTCACGACTTGCACTCACATTGCTCTCTTAAGGAAGACCTTACACTCCATTCGCTCACATGAGCCAAATGACACAACCAAGAACCCCCCTTCCCTTTCCCTCTTCCATTCTACGTTCTCCCCCCTTCCCCTCTTCTTCCTCCTCTCCCGCCCCTTCCACAACCCCCCCCCCCCCCATCCTGCTGGAGCCGGACGAGGACCCGGCTCACCAGCGAGCCAAACACTAACTCGCAGCTCTCCAACAACATATCCAAACAATGCAATACCAACAACGCACTGAATGATGGATTCACACACGTATTTAATCATTGCTCTGGGCGGGTAGGGTCCAGGAGGCCTAGGGGGCTTAGAGGGTAGGGATAGAGGTGGAGTGTAGGGGAGGGGAATGATTGGGGGTGAGGGGCTGATGATAGGGTGGGGGGGGGGGGTAAAGAGGGGGCCACTGTGCCAACTACTGGGTTGAGCTACTGCTATAGCCCCCCCCCAACCTTCCCCCTCCCTGCCATCAAGTCCCGATTCGCCACTGCGGATATGAGCAGAAGTCGACCACTCTGCTGGCGGAAATGGAAAATGGAAATTGACCAACAGTCGCTTAACTTACTCCACCTTTCACTTTGATTAGTGTACACACGGGTCATGTGGGCCCGGGTGGGAGGGAGGGTTGGGGGGAGAGCGTTAAGGAAGAGGAAAGGGGGGGGGGAGATGTGGGAAGGGAAGGTCTTTAGAGTGGAAGGGTGGCATGACCGGGTAGGTCTTCCGGGTGTGCTTAATTATTACCATATAGTTCTCTCCAGAGGTAAATGTGCAGCTCATACTCATTTAGAAGATTGAAGAAGAGAAGAAGAAGAGAAAGAGAGAGAGAGAGAGAGAGAGAGAGAGAGAGAGAGAGCGAGAGAGAGAGAGAGAGAGAGAGAGAGCGAGAGAGAGGAGAGAGAGAGAGAGAGAGAAGAGAGAGAGAGAGAGAGAGAGAGAGAGAGAGAGAGAGAGAGAGAGAGAGAGAGAGAGAGAGAGAGAGAGAAGAGAGAGAGAGAGAGAGAGAGAGAGAGAGAGAGAGAGAAGAGAGAGAGAGAGAGAGAGAGAGAGAGAGAGGAGAGAGAGAGAGAGAGAGAGAGAGAGAGAGAGAGAGAGAGAATGGTTAAGAATGGTAGGAAAGGTTGTGAGTGATAAGGAAAATGGTAAATGGTTGGGAAGGTGCTAAATAGTAGGAAAGAAAAGCACGAAATAAAGGTTCCAAAGAAAGGCACGAAAGAGAGAGATGAGTGAAAAAAGAATAGTGGGAGAAAGAGGTAAGAGTGTGGCTCTTACCAATACCTGAGTGTGGCTCAGGTATTTATTGTGTTTCCTGTTCTTCGTGTCCTCTCCAATACTTTGGAGAAATTGGCTGTCCTCTTCAAGACAGACTAAATGAAGTGTTAAGTCTTCAGACACAAACAATGTTCTCTTCTGCCATGTTAGGGACTCTAAGTCATCACGTAGATTGGCCTTCTTCTAAAATAATCTTTCCTGCCTCGACTCTTCACAGACGCCGTCATATTGAACTGGCTGTGATACCCAACATGAACCTCTGTCCTGGCTATGTTGGCTCTTGTCTCC